CCAGAAAGTTGGAACAGTATCATCCTCATGCCCTAAAAGTAAATTGTAGGGGATCCTAGCACTACTCATCCCAAGTCCATGTTCCAAGTCTCTGAGATCACTTTAAATCAAGGACCTCTAAGCCCCCAGACCCTAAACCCTAAACCCCTAAATCCCTAAACCCCTACACCCTCAGACCCTAAGCCCCTAAACCCCTTAACCCTAAACCCCTAAACCCCTAACCCCTAAACCCTAAGCCCTGGAGCTCCCCTGGACCTGCCTTAGGACTTTCCATCCCTCCCAGTGCTCAGTGCTCTGTTTACAGCTTTACCTTCTGAGCGCCCGAGCCATCAAGGCTAAACGCACTTTTCCCCAAACTCTCCAAAGGAGCAGTAAGCCCCCTTAAACCCTCAGCCCCCTAAGCCGACTAAGTCCCCTGAACCCTAAGTTCTGAACCCTGAACCCTAAGCCCCATAAGCCCTAGACCCTAAACCCTAAGCGATGCCTGATGTGCACCCAAAGGGCGGCTGCTGCGAGCAGAGGCTGAGCGAATCTTTGAGTCGAAGCCTAAGATGTCTTACTCCTACTCCCACTCATGCTCATACTCCTGCTCCTCCTCATGCTCCGACTCCTTCTCCTACTGCGACGCCTACTCCTCCTCCTACCCCTACTGCTACTGCTACCGCTTCTGCTTCCACTGCTGCTGCTGCTCCTCCTCCTCCTCCTCTGCTGCTGCTGCCGCTGATGCTCCTGTTCGAGCCTGCTCCTGCTTCTCTGCTGGCAATGCTGCTAGCCATAATGTTGCTAAACATGTCCATAGTAGCACGCCGTCATTGCTGTTATCATTATTGCAATGCCAAGTGTGCTGCCTGTTTTATTACCATGGTGAGCCTAGTAACTTCTAGGTTCAGTCTTGTTCTGCCTGTCATGACGGTTCAAGTTCTACTTACTTTAACATACTTGTTTTCCCATCGGCGCCAGAGGTGCAAGGCAGACTTTTCGGTGTTTGGAGCAATTCGGTGATTCAGGGTTCGGTTGAGGCGCACCGAGGACGTTTTTGAGATGTGAGAAGCTTCCGAGGCGCGAAGCTCAACAGGTTCCCAAAAGATGCCCATGAAAAACCTAGATCCCTATCCCTAGACCGAACGGAGTGTACTTCCAGGCATGAATTCTATCTCCCTCTTCCTGGTCAAACCAAACCTCTTCAACTTCTAAACATCCGAAAACAGGAGCCCAGACCCCTGCTTTAAGGATGATTTCCTAGAAGATGGCAGGGCTTTCCTTCTTGCTGTGGGAACCTAAACTCCAGGCTATTCGAGCCTAAACCCTAAACTTCATGTGGGAGCCGCAACCAAACAGTTCATTCAGAAAGAAACCCTCGGCCGTCCCGAGGCGCGTTGCCACGCGCTTCGCCGAGCCTGTGCCGGCAGCGCTGCTCTTAGCGCTGGCGGCAAAGGCTAAGGCCAGACCTACTAAGGTTATCTGGGGTAACTATACTTACAACCACGAAATACCCATGAAGGTTTTTATAACTACTAAAAACTCATTAAGGTACTTATAGCTACTTATAACCCGAAATTGAGGTACTTGTAGTCATTTGCTCAATTTGCTGTCTGTTGATTGTGTTTGCTGATGTCTTCATCTCTTTGGGATGATGATGACGAAGAGGATCATTGTACTCTCTTGCTTCTCTCTTCTTTTGCGAGGCTTCACTTGGGGAGTTTGGTTTACAGGTTCTTTGGGTTTGCGGTTTAGGGTTCTAGAGGGTTTGGGTTCAGGTTTAAGGTTTGAAGTTTAAGATTCTGTAATTTAGGGTTTAGGGCCCTGTAAGGTTTTCTTCAAAGTTGCATGAGCGTCGTGCCAGGATTTTATGAGAGGTTAGGGTTTGGGGGTCGAGGGGTTTACTCCCAGGGTGTTAGAGTCCTGCGGGTCTCGGTGTTAGGGGAAGGAATCTGGGGGTTCCCGAAAATAGGGGAACCTAATCCACAATACAGTATCCTAAATAGTAGGATCCTTATCATAAGGACCCCAAAATAACGTATCCCTAATTTTCGGAAACCCCCATCTGATATTTTGGGGTTACGGGTGTAGGGGCTTAGGATTTACTTAACAGATCGTGGGACTAAGTAACTAAGGCAATGATTAGTGTAACTATACCTATAAGTACTTGTAACCCCAATTAAGGTACATATAACCATACCGTTCCATGATCCTCCAAGTAGGCCCTAAACCCTAAACCCTATAGATCCCTTTATAAGGAGCCCAATAGATCCCTGTAAGGATCCCTTAAAGGAACCTTACTTACTAAGTAAGTAGGGTTTGCTGGTTTGGGAGACTTAGGGCTTGGGAGACGTGGGGCCACGCGGGGCTTCACAAGTTTTGGTGACAGGCCTCCGGTAAAGTGGCACAGGGTTTAGGGTTTAGGGTTTAGGGTTTAGGGTTTAGGGTTTAGGGTTTAGACGAGATGCCAACCCTAAACCCTAAACCCTACAACATGAAAAAACAGCAGAGCCTAAGCCTTCAACCCAAAACCCGAAACCGCAAATCACAACCCTACTCCCTAAGCTTTTGCAATAGGGTTTAGGGTTTAAGGTTTTAACCCTAAACTCACTCGGTACCCCAGGCTTTGCTACGACAGGACTCCAAAGTGATGGGTGCTGCTTCTCTTCATCATGGCAAAAAAACAGCTAATGCTCTTCTTACTGTTCTGGTACCAAATTCGCAATAGTACGAGTAGCATTGCCATGGCTGCAACTGGCTCATGGTTACGGCTGCTCTGTGCCATGAACCTCCGGTGACAGCTGTTGACTGACCCAGTGGCAGAGTAGGTGACCTTTAACAACCGTTTTGGGGCACCACAAGCCCAATGTAATTCCAAAGTGAACCTTTACGCAGAGGGCCCATATGTACTACAATTATGGAATCAGGTTCCAAAAGACCCTCCCTATTATGGTTTTGGGAGCCTACTTCCACAATAGTAGTATATAGGGACCCCCTTGGTTAGTTCCCCAAAATACTGGACAAGTTGAATGAACACGCAGCCCTCGATCTCCATCTTGAACAAAGCTGTAAAGCCCACACCCTAGGTCTGAAAACCCTAAACTCTAAGCCCTTAGCCCTGAACCCTAGAATGCTAAGACCCTAAAATCCTCAAGCCTTAAACCCGAAGCCCTAAAACCTAAATCCCCTAAACCCTAAAGTCCTAAAGCCTTAAACCCTAAAGCCCTAAACCCTGAGCCCTAAGCCCTAAAACAGCTAGAACCCTAAAGCCCTGAACCCGAAACTCTAAGAGCCCGAATCTTCAAGCGACAGAGCATATGCAGCCAGGCCTTGGTTCTGAAGGACGATGAGGGTTTAAGGCTTAGGGTTTAGGGTTGGGGTTGAGGGTTTAGGGCTTAGGGCTTAGGGTTTAGGGTTAGTGTTGAGGGTTTAAGGTTTAGTGTTCAGGGTTTAAGGTTTAGGGCTTAGGGTTTAAGATTTAGCGAAAGGGTTGACAAGCTTGGATACTGCCCCCACTCGGCAGCAGTTGAATACGATTTATAATATTGATACCTCAGGCCCCACAGCCCTAAATCCAAAAGCCCCAAACCTTAAACCCTGATTAGCAGCTCCGTTATAGGTATATATGGCCCCTAAACCCTCTATCATAGACTGTTGCCACATGGGGGCAGTACCCAGTGATAAGCCGGCATCCCTTTGACGAGAAACCTCGAGGTCTTTTTAAGGGCTACCTTAACCCTGAATAACCTACCTTTTTTAGGGTTCCTTATTATGATTTCCTTATATAAGTCCTTAAAAGGTAGGCTATTCAGGGTTAAGGTAGACTATACAGGTCAGGACAAGGTTACTATAATGTTATTGTAGTGTTATTACAAGGGTATCAGAAGGGTACTATGAGGTTATTGCACGGGCTACCAGAAGGTTATTCTAAAGGTTTAGTCTAGGCCTTGCTAGAATAAGCGTCAAGCGCCAGATGCCACCGGAAACAACCACGATTCAAATCTATTCGAAGGATAGTGTGCGGCTCGGCGAGGAGTGGACGGATCATGAAATGGAAGCTCTTGAGGATGAAGTGCTCAAAGAGCTGGCCGCGGAGACCCGTGCGGCTGCGGAAGTGGCTGCAAGCTGAAATTCGTTTGGCATTAGCAGGGCTTGACATGCAAGCAGGCAGAGCGCAACCTCTTTTCAGAGCCACTGTTTTCAAGAGCGATGCCAGCATGTCATGATCCTTGCGGTCTAGGGCTTGGGGATTCGGGCTAAGCGGGAAGGGCGGATGTTGTGAGTGGATTGCTGGGTAGGCCTCTGCAGTTTGTGGTTTCAGGGATCCTGAAGACAAAATATCGAGACTCTGAAGGATAGGTCTTCAGCTATTACCCTAAACCCTAAACCCTTAAGGTCTAGGGTCTAGGGTATTGGAAGGAGGGTTTAGGGTTTAGGGGATTGAAAGGATCTCAGGATTTTCGGGAGATCGGCGTGAAGACGTAGTTGACGTTTCCTGTATCACAAGACCTGGTCGGCGTCTTGTGGAGCCTATACAGCCATTGCCCTTGACCCCAACCCTAAGCCCTAAACCCTAAACCCTAAGCCCTAAACCCCAAACCAACCCGCGAAACCTGAACCCCGAACTCGGCCCAAATCCGACCCGAAGTTCAATGCATTGACGACTACTATCATTTACAATACGACTACTGCTACTAGTACTACTACGACGACGACGACTACTACTACTACGACGACGACTCCTACTACTAGATGACTGCCACTGTGACTGCGGCTGTGGCTGCGACTACGACTACGACTACGACTACGACGACTAGTACGATTCCCACTCCTGAGGATGCCGTTGAATGCTTCGACCGAAACTGCGGCGGCTGCCGTAATCATTCGAATAGGTTTGTGGCATATGGTATGCTATCATGATACCAGGACTGTCAGGGAATTTCCAATTAAACCCACAACCCCAAAACACAAAACCCTAAACCCCTACACCCCAAACCCTAATTAGGGCTCAACATCTCCAGGAGCCATCGCTTCTTCACCTCGCCACCCCGGCGCAGGGGCGGTTGGCGGTGCTGGGAGACACGCATGGCCGGGTTGGGGTTCGGGGGCAGGGGTGAGAGGGTTCAGAGGGTTTAGGGTTTAGGGTTTAGGATTTAGGGTCTGGGGTTTAGGGTTTAGGATTTAGGGTTGAGGGTTTAGGGTTGGTTTTGGATCAGCTTCGGGGTTTAGGCTTCAGAGTTGAAGCGTAATTAGGTGTCAAAGAGTACCGTCTTGGCATGCATTATAGCGGTCGAGACAGTCGCTACCAGTTCTTCTGGTATAAGGTACCTCTAGAACATAGTCTAATCATTGAGCCCAGTTATACGTATAGTTACCTTAGCAATCACCTTAGCTGTTATGTGGCAAGCAGTTCTTCCAGATCGGAGTACGGCAATACTGAAATCCTACAAACTCTGAACTCCAAACCCTGATCCCCAAAGCCCCCAAACCCTAAACTCTGTATATGCCCCGACGGCGCAGCCTTAGCCTTGCGGCCCTCGCCCAAGAGACGACTCGAAGTTTCAATGCTGAAGTTTACACTTCCTAAACTGGCGCGGGAGTCTCGAAAATTAGGGATACTTTTTTTTCCAGGCTTCTTGGAATGCGGGAAGCTAGTCTTTCGCTTCTCTTCTTGGGTTCCTTGTTCTCTGAAAATCCTACACATGCAGTCCAGAAAGGGCTAATTAGGTGGGTTTGTCTAAGAACGGGGGAACGCTAGTTGTTATCATGATACAGGGTGTGTGGGTAGTAGTGTTGCGAAACCACATGCAACAGCACCGACACCTGAGCGCCATTGGCACGAAACCTGCACATTAAACAGTATATACACGCAACTTCCTAAACAGTTATTGGGGCTAGAGGTTAGGATTTCAGGTGTTCCGGTTCAAGGGTTTTGGGCTTGAGGAGTTCCCAATCCCGTTATCTCTTACTTGACAGGCCACCTGAAGGACTTGGTGCACATCTGGAGGCAAGAAGGCGGAAGCGAGAAAAAATACGTAGGATTGGTTTAACAGTGGGATTGGGAGCCTTGGCAGATGTGCAACAGGGGGCTATGGGGTTCAGCGCACTGTTCATTGCAGGTGCTTTTGGAGAGCAAATTAGCGTTTCGGGTTTGTGGCGTCCTGGATAGTTGTTGTAGATGCTGTTTGCTGGGCTCCCACACAGATGTCTGCAGATGTCAGATAGAATAGATGCCTGAACAGTTAACAATCATATTTCCAATCCTTCTTTGGAATTGCACTCTCACATACCCCAATTTACCATGTCCTAATTATTAAGGCCCTGTGTTAGTTGATTGAGATACTTCTACATAATGGTTACAAGTTTTGCGAACCCGATTACTTGCAACTTGTTTGGGGTTCTACTATACGGTACCACCAAAAGCAGGTTCCCTGTATGGAGGCCTCCTCATATTGTAAGCTTAAACCCTAAACTCTAAACCAAGTTTTATTTTAGAGCCCCCCCCATATTGAAAGCCTGCTTTGTTCAGAACTAGCGAGCTGGTGTTCGGGTTTAGGGTTTAAGGGTCTAGGGTTTAGGGCTTGGGGTTTGGGGTGTAGGGGTTGGGGTTTTGGGTTTAGGCTTTAGGCTTTCTGGCTTTTGGTTTGGGGTTTGGGGCTTAGGGTGTAGGGTTTTTGGTTTAGCGAGTTTTGGTCCTCTGTCTGTGTAGTCTTGCGGCCGTTTTATGTTGTTCAGTTGCTGCTACTTCGAAGCAGCATCTCCGCCTAGTATATATATATATATAACAAAAAACGAAACACTATTCTGATGATTAAAGCCCATGCGTTGGACCCAGCCATCTTCCCAAGGAATCAGCCAATCTATTTCCCCGGAATCCGTTGGAATTGAAGTGTAGGTGGCCAGCAGCTGTTACCGTAAACTGCTGGGCTCTGCCATATGAAAGCGCGGGGCGTCCCAAATATGCTTCCGCAGAAGGCGATCCTGACCAAAAGCTGAACCTACACCAAGCTCCAGACTCCAATCCTGACCCGCCAAACCCTGACCTAAAACAAAACCTGCCTTGGTTTTAGGGTTTGGGGTTTACGGTTTAGGGTTTATGCCTAAGGGCTAATTGTAGAGACAGGTATAGATGAGGGGCCTCGAGAGGTAAGATGAAGGCAGGTGTTTTGAGGCCTCCCAATAGATTTCGAACTCGAGGCTTCCCATCAAGAGACCTGGTCTATCTCTTCAACGGCGACATCTGCGCGCCTTGCCGTCCGGTCTGGGCTGTAAGGTTTGGGGTTCCAGATGGACTGTCAGTTCCGGTGTTTAACCGTTTTACCCTAAACCCCTAAACTCTACCTGTAGCCGACAGGGCCTACCTTGTTAGGGTTCCTTATTATGGTTTCTATATATAGTTCCTTAAAAAGGTAGGTCTTTTCGCTACAGGTACACCTCTAAACCCTATACCCTGAGCCCTGAGCACTGATGTTCAGAGGGCAGAGGGGTATGGAGGTCGGAGGTATTCGTGCGTAGCTTAAGGTGGATCCTCCTCTCATCCCCACGCCCTGGCTCAAAAGAAGGGGCCTGAACAATTAGAATAGGGTTATGGGGGTATAGTCTACTGTACCCATAAAAAGGAACCTTTACAACAGCATAGGTAATAATCTCTTGTTGTTTATTTATAACAGTTGAGGGTTTATGATGGTTTAGGGCGTCGGGGTTTGGGGTTTGGGGTTTTAGGCTTTAGGGTCCAAGGGTGGTAGAGAGTCGAACCTGGGGGCCACTAAATACCCTTTGCTAGAGAATGAGCCAATATCATTTCTCAGGGTTCCTTGTTGTAAACTTAGCAAAATAATACCCCAAAACCCTAAACCCAACCTTAAACCCTGAACCCTAAACTAAACCCTAAAAACCAGGCTTTCTGAAGCCAACCCTGAATCCCCAAGCCCTGGAACCCAAACCTGTGGAAGCCGTAGGTCCTAAACCTCTTAGAGCCCCAGCCTCGACCTGAAAAAAATCCTGAAATCAGGTAGGATAGGGCTCCTGTTTAATATAGGGGCCTTTTATAATGATCTTACTGGTTAGGATAGGGCCCCAGTTTCAATTCTAAGCCTCTTCTCCTCATCTCAGAAGCTCCAAAGCAAGCCGTAAATCCTACACCCTAAACCCGAAGCCCTGAACCGTAAACCCTAGGCCCTAAACCCTCAACCCAAGCCCAAACCATGAATCCTATACCCCGAACCCTTAGCCCGAACCCCAAGCTCCAAACCCTACAGTAGAAGCCAGAAAGTTGGAATATCATTATCGTAACCCCGTTTTAAGGTAAATTATAGGGGATCCTACCATCAATCCATATTCCAACTTTCTGGAGTTCCCTTTAGGCCCTAAACCCGAAGCCCAAGGCCTAAGCCATAAACCCTGAATCCTAAGCCCTAAACCCTAAACCCTAAACCAAGCCCTAAACCCTAAACCCTAAACCAAGCCCTAAACCCTAAACCCTAAACCCTAAACCAAGCCATAAACCCTGAACCCTAAACCCTAAACCCTAAAAAGACTTATATAAAGAAGTCATATTAGGGAACCCTGAAAAGGTAGGTTCCTTAGGGTCCAGGTAGGCCCTAAACCCTCAACCCTAAACCGCCCAAAGCTTTGTCGTTCGGCTCTGAGGACCGGGGGGACTCAGCTAAGCGAGGAGGCCCGGGGTTATAAAACTGGGTTTTTGGGTTTAGGGTTTAGGGTTTAGGGTTTAGGGTTTTTGAGGGGGCAGGGGGGTTGAGGATTTCTTGGGGCTTCTTATGGTTTCTTGGCGGTTTCTTAGGGTATTTGGGGTTTTGATAGGGGTTTCTCAACATTTCTCAAGGTCTGTTAGGGTTCCCCTCGAGTTTTGGGGCGTTGAGGGCTTGTAGGGTTTTTATCGACGAAGGCTGCAATTAACGCTGTGGTCGGTACTCGCGCCAGTGCCGCTGCGCCGGAGGGCCCACACGCTGGTACCGTCAACGAGGTGATGAACTGCGAGGTATCCGCAGCTCGAAAATTTAAATGTCGACACTGCGTTGAAGTAGCCTGCCTTCTTAAGCTCCAGTGAGGCTTCTGCAACAGAGCATGTTGTTATGAACCCTTGGCCTGAAAAACCCTACATGTCCTCGACTTGTAACTCAGATACCGTAAATCTTTATGGAGAACCCGCATAGAATCAGTGGCACTCTTTTGGGCTCGCGGATAAAACTGCGGTATGCCTCGCGCCCTGCAACATGTTATGACGATTTCGTCAAGCCCTGCAGAACTTGAGTCTGATCTTCAGGCCTTCGGGTTTTAGGGATCTTTGGATTTTTGGGGTTCAGGGTTCAGGGTATCTATAAGTAGGGTTATAAGTCCCTTAATATGGGTTGTAAGTATAGCTACCCTTCTTATAACCCTACTCATAACTACCCATGAACCTCCAAGTAGACCCCCGAACTACCCTCCCGAAGCCCTAAGCCCTAAGCCCTAAGCCCCATACCGAAGGTGATCTCCCAGACCCTCCAACTACGTGCCCTCCATAAAACCCTTAGGCCTCGGTTCCACACCGGGCAGGCCAGCAAGCGCTCCACATCTGGGCCTGCGCGCGGGGCCCGCGTGGTTCTGGCTTTCAGGGGTTGTTAGGATTGAGGGATTTGGAGTTCAGAATATAGGGTTTAGGGTTTTGGGTTTAGTAAGCCCTTGAAATCCTAAACCCTTTAAACTCTTTGAACCCTTAAATTAAAGCCCGGAGCCCGAAACCTTGAACCCTTCACACTGCAAGCCTTCAACCCTAAAGCCTTTGAGCCTTCATTGGAGGTTCATGGGTAGTTATGAGTAGGCTTATAAGTAGGGTAACTATACTTATAACCCATATCAGGGGACTTATAACCCTACTCATAACTACCCCTGAGCCTCCAAGTAAGCCCTACACCCAAAGGGTTTGGACAGCTGTGAGGTCTTGAGCTTCAAGATAGCGGAGCCGGAGAGCGTCTACATCAACCGAGGCGCTATGAGTCGAGGGGATCTTCTGGGGTTTAGGGTTTAGGGCTTAGGGTTGAGGGTTCAGGGTTTGGGGTTGAGTTCAGGCTCCCACACGTAGGTGCTTGTTTATTTTCACTTTGCAGCATTTCTTCCCCGGATTGTAGGGACTGGCGCACATTGACAAACAGCCGAGTCAGGTTTGAAGACGCCAGGGGAGCCGCATAAGAGACCACGTGATGTGGAGGCTTGAATACTCAAAGGCAGTACCCTTTCGCATTGTTCTATAAACCCTAATCCCTAAACCCTGAACCCTGAACCCTAAACCCTAAACCCTAAACCCAAGTGAGCAGCAGTTTCCCAAAGGGCGGTTACACCCCAGAACCCATTCCAACAATGAAGGCGCACGCTTCGAATAAGTCGGTTCGGGTTCAAAGTACCTTGAACCTAAACCCCAAACCCTTTTCCCATGATCCTCCATGTAAACCGAAAGCTCAAACTTGTCAAGGCCCCTGAACCCTAAACCCTCAACACTAAACCCTAAATCCCAAACCCTAAACCCCAAAACCTAAAACCCTGAACCCTAAACCCTAAACCCTAGACCCGAAAACATAAACCCCTAAAGCTTTAAAGCTTGTCAAGGCAACCATGAGGACAGAGACTACTGGCCGCTGTCACTTGTATTCCCAAGAGCAAGGGCTCGTAAAGTTTTGGGGGCTTAGGGATTTAGGATTTGGGGGTTTTAGGGTCTAGGGTTTAGGGATTTGGAGAGGGGTTTCGGAGTTTAAGGGTTCTATGGTTTCAGGGCTTGAGGGGCTTAGGGGTTGGCAAGTTCTTGGGATTGCAAGCGCATCTCAGAGCCAGTGGCTTCCTGCTGTTACCGATATGCTTCGGCTTCTTAACAGCAACGGCATCAGTTATTATGGCCATTGCCATTATTCCTACTCCTCTTCGTCGCCATCTTCGTCTTCCTTCGGCTTTGCATCATCGTCATGATCAGCACCACCATCAGTATCACCATCGCCATCGTCAGCATCACCATCAGCATCACTAGCATACTATATCCCCAACCCTATTCTAATTAGTAAGTAATACCCCGCAATATCAGTCTAGTATGCTATATCCCAAAACCTTGTTCTGCTTAGAGCTAGTTCACAATATCCCAGAACCCTATTCTAATTAGGAAATCCTCTACATGAGAGCTAAGGTACGGCCCTCAGGGCTTCGCCGCCGAGATTGAATCAAAGTATTCACGTGAGGAGGCAGGGTTGATCTCAGTGCGGCTGGCGGCAGATTCGATAGTCTGCTGTCTTGAGGGTTTAGGGTTGAGGGGTTTTGGGTTCAGATTTTAGGGTTCGGGGTTTAGGGTTTAGGGTTCAGGTTTAAGGTTCGGGGTTCAGGTTTCGGGGGTTATGGGGTTCGGGGTTCGGAGTTTCGGGGTTCGTGGCCTCAGACTGCTGTCAGTCTTGAGGACAGAAGCTTCGCCTTGGGCTTCGTAACTTTCTATTTCCGTGCATATATATATATATATATACTGCATTACCCATAATAAGGAATATCCCATATATAATTCCCATAGTCTAGGGTCCTTAAGGTACTGCAGGATTTATATCGTCAACCGTACCGTTATAGTACCCTTATAGTAATCTTGTAGTGACCCTGGATCATGCCAAGCTACTGCAAAAATCAGCGAAACCCACAAAGGCGCTGCAGTTTTCGACAGGACCCCGGCCCGGACGGAGCTTTGAACTTGTAGGTTTCAGGGCCGCAGAGTTTATTGTAGTATCCTTAAGGGAGGGGGGTCCAAGGGGGGTATATAGCCTAGTGATCCCTAATTCTCCCTAGTACTCCCTAAGGTTCCCTTACAGTCCCCTAAGGATTCCTTATACCCTCCCCCCTTGAACCACCCTCCCTTAAGGATCCTATAAGTTTAGGGCCTCCCGCGTCGAACATCTGGGTACTACTTGGAGGATCATGGGACTTAGTAAGTATGGTTATAAGTAATAATAAGTATAGTTACCCTAATAGTAGCCTTAGTTACTAAGTCCCATGATGCTTTAAGTACTGAAGATCTTCAGTCGGGTTGTTCGACTATGTCTTGGGCCTTTTAATCCACATGTGGCATCGTGAGCTTCTCAACACAAGGCCCAAGCATCCCAAGACCCGAAGCTGGATTCTTGTTAAGAGATTTAGTTTAAGTTATCACAAGAGAGATCTACAGGAAATAGCATGGTTTCCTGATTATGGCAACTTAAACTTACTGAAGTTCATTCCTTAACAAGAACCCAGAAGACCCTAAACTCTAAAAGCCCCTCCTGAGCCTTCAGACCACAAGCCTGGCCCGTGGAATCCTGGCTGAACCTGAATCATGCACTGGGGTTTAGGGTTTTAGGGTCCTCAACCATCAAGCAAAGGGGAAAAGGAGGGACCCTTAATGGGGACCCTTACCCTATAATGGGCTATAAAATGGGTATATAATAGCTATATTAAGGGTAGAAACCTAGGGGTCCTTCTTAAGGGTCCCTCCTTTTACCCTTGGAATCAAGCCTACGAGAAGTTCTTACAACTCCGGGTAAACAGAGGCTTCCAACAGGCTTGAAATAGGACCCTGACTTACTTTTCAGCCCTAAACTCAGACCCCAACACCCCAAGCCCCAACCCTTTCGAACAACCCCTCAGTAAAACTCGATAAAGGTCCCCGGCAGAGCCCCTATGCAAACCCTGACCAAAGACTTGCTTAGAACCCTTGCAGAACCTAAGAGCCCTTCTGTAGAGGTTTGAAAAGCCAGTACTACTGTTGATGATAAAAAAACCTGCATTACCTTAATGGCCCGAAACTATGGGAATTGTGGAATATTCCTTATTATGGGTAATGCAGGGTTTATATCATTAAGCGTATCATTTTCTGAGAGTCCCGTTACAATCATTTCACAGTCCAGAATACATGTCCATGAAATCAGAATCTCTGTCTCACAGCCTTCCCTAAACCCAAGCACTGAACCTTAGACACTCGGCCGTAAACCCACATCCACAAGCAGTACCCTGAACCCTAAACTCCTCAACTTGAAGCCCATAAAGCCCCCCTCAACCCTAAAACTTAAACTCCTAAACTTGAAGCTCATAGAGCCCCGCCCCCCTACACCCTAAACTCTACACTCCTGAACTTGAAGCCCATAAAGCCCCCACTCACCTGGAGGCTGATGAGCTCTTGGATGCCTTTGGAGACCTCTGCGATGCACTGCCTCTGGCCGCGGTGATAGACGACTGCTGTCTCTCGGAGCAAGAATGAACGTCTGGGTTTAAAAGATAAGGGCCCAAGGAATTAGAAGAAGGCTTTGGGAGATGTTATACTGTTAGGGACGATATGGTAGGGTTGAGGTTTGCGAGTGCCAGGGTTTGGGGATTTCAGGGTTTAGGGTCCACGGCAGTCAGTCTATGTGGTTGCGGTAACGAACAGAGGCTAGATGCTCTATAGGGGGTCGTGTTGCGGCCTGTTGCTCGGCTGGCCACCCGGCATTGTTCCATAATTAATACGATGTCCGTAATACTTTAGCGTTTGATGGAATATTGTAGTATAGTGTTAACAAGGAACTCCAACAGCAGTATTGGTAATCATTGAGGCTCCTAGAGTCCTAGAGTACCCACTCTGTAGAACGCTACCATGCCTGCATCGTCGAGTCGTTGTTCGCAGCTTGTCGCGACGTGCCGCTGGTCGGTTAGTTGTTGACGGTTTGGGGTAAGGGTTTAGGATTTGGGGTTTAGGGTTTAGGGGCAACGAGCTTCAAAGACATGACACAGGCAGAATGCCTGACGTGAGTCCTCAGCCCAGGCACGCCCAAGCCATCAGTCATACCAAAAAGCATGAACGACCCGAAACCAGAAAGCCCGCAAACAACCCTGATACTCCCTTTCTAGTTGCACCATGATTGCTAATATAACTCTGAACCAGTTCTTGCCATCAAGACCCCTGTGCAAACCTCGAAACCTCGACAACATCCTGCAACACCCTTTCGATTTCTGTTCCAGTTGTGACGGCCCGAAGAAGCCCTGTAACATCCTATAAGCCGCTTATACTCTAGTGTAATTATGAACGTCCCCAGGCCCTAAGCCCGAAAAATTAACCCCCAAATTCCTGAGCCTAGAACTTGACCGCCTAAACACCCCTGATGCCCTAAATCCCCTAACTACAACCCCCCGAGCTAACCCTAAACCCCCAAAGCTTCCCTAACTCCCGTAACCCCAGAAAACTTAATCCCAAAACCTACACCCTAAATCCGAAACCCTAAACCCTGAACCCTAACCCCCATGAAGTTTCGAACTCCACTAAGGCCTGGTACTTCATGGAGGTCTCCCGCGCTGCAGCACCTCTAACCTCCAGGATGAATTGCGGTGTCCATTTTTGTAGCAGGGTTTTGGGTTGCGGGGTTTAAAGGTTTGAGGGGGTTAGGGTCAAGGGTTTTGTGGTTGAAATTAAGGTTGAGGGGTTTAGGGTTCGAGGGGTTTCGGGTTTCAATTTTAGACGTACCTTTGTGGTATATATATATATATATATAGGGTCTGTTTGAGGAGGGGTGGATGCAGTTATAAGCTTTCGTAGGATGCTTAATGGTTCTGTTCTGTGTCTTCTAAGGTTGTTTTCAGGGTTGCCTTTCTTTTCAATACGACGTGACAAGGTTTCATTTGGGTTTTGTGTGAGCCCCATGGATGCTTCAACGTCTAGAGTCTAGGGTTTAGGGTTTTGGGGCCGGTATGAAATTTTTTTAAAAAAGGAAGCCTTAATAAGGACCCAGAGATGACACGTAGGGATCCTCAACATAAGGAACCCATACCTGTACCGCCCTGATTGAAAGCATAAGTATTGAAGAGTACAACTACGTGCGTCATGCGATATCTGGATATTTTGGCCGAACGTGTAATCAAGATACTCAATCTGAACGGTTGATGTGGCCAGAGGCTAGTTTGGGGCTGCAGCTTTGAGGCTTTGGCTTTGAGGTTTTGGGGCTTTCGGGGTTCTGGTGTTGAGGGTTTCGATTTGCAGGTCTGAAAATCGTATTCGGCATTTTGATGGTTTTGGGCTCGGGTTGGGGCCTCAGCTACGTGCTGCTTATTGTAGCTCATGGATAGTGATAGATCCTTTCTTAATCGCCGTGATTCGTTCGATGCATCCGTGCCTGGATGGCTGCCACCCGTCGTGAACCTTCAGCAGCCGTCGTACAGTCATTGTAAATTAGTGTCGTAGAGAGGAGGAGAGTTGCTCAGCAAGTTGATCTACCCTAAACTATACACCCACTGTCATGACAGACATGCCGATCGGTGGCAGGTTTCCAGTGTTTAAAGTATCTACCCAGACATGTTAGAGTCTTCAAAGGTTTACGAAAGCCTGTAAAACCTGCTAGGTTCCTGAGTTGTACCCTTTTGCCTTTTTTGTTTCAGGGACCCCGTACTAAAACTGAATGTAAGATAAAGGGTATCTTTATGATAAAGGGGCTACTCAGGAACATAGCCTTATATCATGGTAGACCATCTTCGCTTCCAGGAGATCTCGGCGTTGCCTCGGCCTGTGGTGATCCCGGAGCCACGGGGCGACGATTCAGCATGATTGCACATTGCCGATGTTCTTTCCGGGCTTGGGGTCTAGGGTTTAGAGGCTCGGGTTCAGGGCATTTTAGCGTCTAGGGTTTCAGGGTATCGTGGTTGTTTCAGGGATTCAAAGTTAGGGGTTGGGGTTAGTTAAAGTTAGGGGCGTGTCTGAACCATGTGTCTGAACCATGAATACCACGAGCTCAAACTCCAAAAGTGTGTCTGAAGCTCTTCCGAACCTTAAACCCTCATCCTAAACCCTAAACCCTAAAGCCCTTGAGGGTTCCAGTTTTTTGGGTTTCGGGTAAAGCTCCAAAGTTTCTTGAAGACCCTAAACCCTAAATCCTAAAGCCTAAACCCTAAACCCCTAAACCATACACCATAAACCCCTAAGCCCCTAAACCCCTAAATCCTAAACCCTAAACCCCTAAACCCCTAAACCCCTAACCCCTAGACCGTTGAGGTCTCCTGGAACTCGTCAGGAGGAGCGTCTCGGCAGGCTAAGCCGTTTTTGTTTTTCAGTCGTAATCCATTATGGAGACTATTATTGGGGATTATACAGGGGCTGCTTTAGGGATCCATGCCTGACCAAGCACCAGACAGTAAGAGTCGGATTTGAGAGCAGAGGACCATCTTTTGACATCATGTTGCAATGCGAAATGCACAGGGAGAAGCAGTGCAAGCAAGAACGCCAAGAGTAGCCGCAGTCCCGACTGGAACGAGGCTGAGGGGAGCCGGCGGCAATTCTGACCCACAATGCCTTGAATCATTCATATAAGGGTCTGAATGGTCCCCACCCCAAACCCCAAGCCGTAAACCGAAAATCCGTAATGGGCCCCAAAACCCGATTCTAATTATCAACCCCCCTATATGATGGTACCCTTATGGATCCCTTAAAGTAGCCCTTATAGACCCCTTTGAAGGAACCCTATTCTAATTAAGGCCCTATATTATACCCCAAGCCCCATTCTGATTATCATGGCCGGGCTCTCGGGCTGAAAACCACACCTCAAGCTTTCCCGTAGCCTTGCCTTTGGTTGGCACTTGGAGGTTCAGGGTAGTTATAAGTAGGGTTATAAGTAGGGTAACTGTACTTATAACCCATATGAGGGCACTTATAACCCTACTTATAACTACCCCTGAACCTCCAAGTAGGGAAGGGAAGAGTGGTAGTAATGGTACGGTTGATGATACAAATCCTGCATTACCCATAATGAGGAATATACCATAACTCCCATAGTCTAGGGTCATGAAGGTAATGCAGGATTTATATCATCCACCGTAGTAATAGTAGTTATAAGTGTACCCCATTCCGCCATTCCCTACTAAGCAAAGGTAAGTAGCTGGAGCTCTCAGGCCGTCAGGTCTCAAGGCAGAGCAAAAACAAGCCCAAATCCGTAATTCTAAACCCTTAGCCTGGACTTCAATTCAATACGCGAGGGAAAACCCTGAAACCTAACCCCTAAACCCCCCAAAATCTAAGCCGTTGATCCCCGAGACAGCAGAGGATTATCTACGACATTACCTGGGCAGACCCGCACGCGGCGCCTGGGCTTGCATAAGAGAGTGTGCAACTTTACCGCAGGCTAATTTTTTGTACTTAAGTATCTAAGTGCTTCTTCGACTGGTGGGTTTTGTAGGTGTCTCGTAGGGCTTTGTAAGGCTCTTTCTCGGTAAGGAGTTTAACTAAGTTACGAGTAGGTACAGGCAGCAGGCGATATGCTTTGCGTAGGGATTTGGGAAAACCTTCATACATCCCGAGACCCTGTGCGCACACACAGACACACACACACAAATGTATGCGTATACTTCTATGTATATGTACATGTAGATGTACATGTAGATGTACACGTATATCTACATCTCCACGTGTACATATATATGTTTTTATCTGTATCTGTATCTGTATATGTATATGTGTGTATGTGTATGTGTAATGTAGGTGTAGGTGCAGGGGCATGTGTATGCGCATGCGTATGTGTATTCATTCCTTCTTGTGTTCATTCCTTCATTCCTTGATTCATCCATCCATCCATGCATGCATGCCTTCATTTATTCATTCATTCATCCATTCATCGCGAACTTTTCGAGGGACAAGAGGCACGTAAGCATTGGGAATTGGGACCCTCGGCCGAGGTTTCGATCTTCAAGGTTTCCAGGATTTCGGGTTAAGGGTTTGGGGCCTACCTGTAGCCGAAAAGACCTACCTTTTTTTAAGGAGCTATATAGTGAAACCATAATAAGAAACCCTAGAAGGGTAGGTCTGTGCGGCTACAAGGAAGGGTTTAGGTTGTAGGATTTTGGTGATAGGCCCAAAGTTTGGGTTTTAGAGATTTGGGATTTCGCTAGGGTCGAGGTTGAGGATGGTATGGGTCGTAGCTCACAAGGGCTTCAGGCCTAAGACTTACATGCCCAACCTGAAAACGCAATCCTAAACACTAGAACCCTACACCGCGTGGCCCAAAGTTAAAGCCCCAACATCGCTTTACACCCTAAACCCTAAACCCCTTAACCCTGAACCCCTAAACCCTAAACCCTAAAACCCTAAACCCTAAACCCTCAACCCTAAACCCCTGGCCTTTGAACCACGAGGAGCCCGGCTTTCACCAAAGCGATCGCGGGGGCGAGGCTGTTTGTTTCGGTCCCGTGCCCTTGCTGCAAACGGGTGTAAGGTTGAGAGTCTTGAGTTTAGGGTTTAGGGTTTAGAGTTTAAGATGGATTCGAGACACAGGGTGTTCCATGCATAAGCGTTGCGGTTCCGAATCGGAGGGTCAATGTGGGTGTTTCAACAACTCTTAGCCCTACTCCCTACACCGTAAGCTCTAGATCAAAGGTCACTGAAGTTGGCTTGAAAAAGCTCTTAGGGGGATCGGGGCAGACAGGCCACGAGCTCGGAGGCTTCAGCAGTGCCACAGAGAGTTCCAGGGTTTTCAAAAGCCCTCACTCCCGAATCTCAAGGCCTTTCAACCATAAACCTAAGCTTGAAAGCCTAAACCATCGACCCTCCACCCTAAACCATGGACCCTCCACCCTAAACCCTTTAAAAGTACCCCTAAGGAGGATCCCTCTCATCAGGACCAGCCAACAGAGACCTGATTCGTAATAACGCTAGAGACTCAAGACTCAAACGAGGACATTACCCAGCGCTTCCTTCAAAGCGCAGGCGTGCCGCTTGAACTCTGAGGCTTATGCCTCTTATCCTAAGCCCCTACATCCAAGCCAGGAGCCCTGCATCTTAAGCCTAAACCCTGCATACTAGGCCCTACCTTAACCCCAAATAACCTACCTTTTTAAGAACTTATATAAAGAAACCATATTGGGGAACCCTGAAAAAGGTAGGTTCCTTCGGGTCCAGGTAAACCATACATCCTAAGCCCTAAACCCGAGTTTGGGGAGTCCAAGGACTTGAAATCCAGGGGCTGTGACTGCAGGGGGTCCTCGTTTAGGGGTCTTGGGCCGAGGATTCATGAGTTGAGGGTTTGGGAGCTACCGGTTTAGAACACTTCATCCGATATACCGGTCGTATATCCGAACGGTTGATGATACAAATCCTGCATTACCCACAATAAGGAATATACGATAATTCCCATAGTCTTGGGTCCTGAAGGTAATGCAGGATTTATATCATCCACCGAAGGACCTAGGTCTTCAACCATCAACCCAAGACCCCAAACTACTTGCCCCCCCCAACCCTCAAATCGCGACCTGGCTTTCGGAGTTTCGTAGGCAGTATACCCTAAACCGCAAAGCCAAAGAAGCACATCATCCCCCCGAAATCCCTGCCAACACCCTAAGTCGTACATCCTGCACCCGAAAATCAGCCTCCTAGACCCCACATTGCCAAACCCCACACCCTGAACCCCCAAAGTCTCGGACCAAGCGCCAAGCCTGGGTAATCCGAAACCCAGGTTTGTAGAGCCTGGGTAAATGTTAGGGTTTGCATTCGGATTTGAGGGCGAGTAACAAAATCGCCATAGCCTGTGGTGGCAGTCGCAGAAGTTGTTAATGGATCCTTCCATGGACCTGAAATAAAAGGATTCGATTAGAAGGATCTTTACCACCTGCTTTTCCGAGACCAGATTGGGGCGCTCTAAGCCTCTGAATCCTGCTGATCCTAAACCGTCTTGCCGAAACCCAGGAGCATAAAGAGTCAACCTCAAATCCTGAACCCGGAATCGCTAAAACTCAGAAGTCCCCCTAAGCCCTAAGCCCTAAGCCCTAAACCCTACACCCCTAAACCCCTAAGCCCCTAAACCCCTAAACCCCAAAACCCGTAAACCCCTAACCCTATACACTAAACCCTACACCTTAAACCTTAAACCAAGAACAAGCCTACAGGACTTCGCCTTCTTGTCCGCTCTCACGAGCTCCCGGGCCGTGCCCGGGGCAGCAAGTTCGTGACCGGCTTGGTACGCTACGATTACCAAGAAGACCCCTAAACCCCAAGCCCTAATATAGGGCCTCAACAAGTAGAATAGCGTTTTGGGGGTGTATTCTACGATAGTTATAGCATTTAGTATGCCCGAAACTTAACCTCCAAACCCTATTTTTGTACAGGTACTTATTATAAACCCTCATGAGGAATTTGAGGGACCCTAGAAACAAGTAGGCTTTGGTAGGTTAAGGTAAGCCCGAAGCCCCAACCCTAAACCAGACGACGACGAATAAGTACGGATTCGGGTGGGATTTCGAGTTCCGGGAAGAGGTTCTGTAGGGACTAGTGGAGGGTTCAGGGTTCACGGCTTTTGCTTCAGGGTGTAGGTCAAGTACATGGTTCAGGATTTGGGGCTAAGCATGTAGGCATAGAAAAGGGTTGTTCGTCTCGGGTTTAGGGATCAGGGTGCTTTTGCACAGGTCCAGGGCGTAGGTCTGGGTTTCATTCAAACTGCAGCGTTAGGGGTAAAGTGTAGAAGGTTCAGAGTGCCGCAGCAGAAGCCCGAGCCTCATACCCCACTCCACGGCACCGTCAGCACCAAGCATTAAACCTCACATTAAATCCAATGCCATAAAGTCCTGAACAGCTACAGCCGTAAAGCCCGGAAACCCCCAAACCACACAGCCCCAAAGCCCTAACGCTAAACTTACCTTTGGTTAGTAGGGAATGGAGGAACGGGGTACGATTGTAACTACTATTACTACCATTCTTCCATTCCCTACTGACCAAAGGTAAGAAAAGCCCCCAAACCCCGAACAACCCCACGTGAGCTCAGGCAGCCAGGCCGAGTTCAAGGGCCGAGGGTACGAATGGTGGCCCGACAGCGTTCATCCGAAGTGTTTTAAGGAGCATTGCTAAGTAGTACACAATAATAATGATTACTATGATCACTGTTAGTATGACTAGTGTTTTACGGAGTGTTTCTCAATTGTCACACAATAAAAATCATTACTATGATCACTGTTAGTATTACTAGTGTTTTAAGGAGTGTTTCTTAATTATTACACAATAATAATCATTACTATGATCACTGTTAGTATTGCTATGATCCTAAGTACTATTGTTAATCTGACTCTTAAGGAAGCCACAGAAGTTGACGAGATAGCGGGCCTCCGTTGGAGTCTAAGCCGCACGCCACCAATCCCTGAACTGTAAACCCGAGTCGACCCAAAGCACCGAAACCTAGCAGTTTTCTCCCAAACCCCGCCAAAAACCCACAATGACGGCCAGTATAGTGGCTCTTGTAGTAGCCCTTCGAACCAACCTGGCAGAGTAACTCTTGTAGTAGCCCTTTCAAGGAATCCTAGAAGGAACCCAGTAGTGTAGCATCTCTTTTTAGTACCACCTGAAAGGAATCCCAAACATGAAGCCTATTCTGATTCTGAAGGCGCATAAAGAACGAACCTGAGGCTCTAAGGTTTGTCTCGAACCCAAGAGCCTCAAATCCTACACTCCGAACAACCCTTAGGGGGCATAGGGTTCAGGGTTTGGGGCTTAGGTTTAGCGGCTCGGGGCTTAGGATTCAGGGTTTAGGCAGTTTAGGGTTTAGGTTTAGGGTTTAGGGTTTAGGGTTTAGAGGTTTGGAGTCTAGGGCCGTGCCCTAAAATCTACAACCGTGCACGCTAAAGTCCGATGTACCCTAAAAACGCGAGAGTCTAAACTTAAAGGCCTTCAGTGACCCTGCTATAGATCCCATCAGTCTAGGGTGCTGTTATGCAAGCACATTTTTGTATCGCACAAAACCTTGCTCTAAGATAAAAAAGACCCATATCATGGAACCCTTACAGAACCCTTATAGCAGACCTTATAATTGCCCGTGTAGAGCTTCTTGCAGAAGCCTGTGAAGAATCCTTAAAAACCCACCAGCCCAGACAGGTGGCACCCCATCCTGTGCGCTGACAAAGATTCAGTGGACTCGCAGCCGCCTCCCACACTGGGAGCGGTTCGAAAAGGGTCCTACGGTAAGGATTTAAGAAGCTTTCAGCCAGAAGGGTTTCAAGTGTTTGAAGGCTTTAGAGGACCGAATCAGGACCCCTAGGTATATACCCATAATATAGCCATTATATACCCATTATATAGCCCATTATAGGGTAGGGGTCCCCATTAAGGGTCCCTCCTTTTCCGCTTTGAGGGTATCGGGTTTGGAGGGTTGGGATTCAGGGCGATTGGGTCTGGCGATTTTTGCGTTTGCGGTTTTGTGATTTGGCGGCCATGCTACCACTGTTTAGGTGTCCGTTTTCTTGAAATTCATGTTACTGGGGCCGGTTGATGGGGTTTGTAAGATAACTAACATTCATACCCCCTTGTGGCCACTTCAAAAAGATTGTACATCGCCAACATCCAATTCGAATTGTTGAGGCCCTTCCGTGGGAGTTAGGGTGATTTGAGGGTTTGGGTCACGGTTCACGGCCTTGTGTCTTCAGGCCTCATAGGACTCTTCTGCAATCCCGATAGGCCCCGTATTCCATGCTTGTAGATCCCCACTCTCCGAGCTGCGGCCCTGGCAGGAGCATCGCAGAAAGGCTGGTGTTTGACCGTCTTCTCTGCCAGCGACTATTGCGGCCGCTGAATTTTAAACAGACGTGGACGGGTTTGGAGTTTAGGGTTCAGGGTCCAGGCCAGAAGGTTTAGGGTTTAAGTTCCAGGGTTTGGGGGTTATTGCTGGGAAATCAGCTTGAATTTCCTTTGGGTGCAAAGGGTTATTCGTATCAGAAAGATCACCAGGATCTGTGCTTAGGGCATTATTTTCGCTATATTTCGCTATCAGTGCTCTAAGGATCAGAATCTTCAACTATCCTAAATCCTAAACTCTGAACCCTAAATAAACCCCTAAACCCTAAACCGACATGACAGACAAAGCTAGTCAGCAGTTTATGTGGCAAGGGCTTCGGGATCAGCCATGAAGAGCCTCCGACCCCTCAGAAGCCTAAAACCTTAAACCCTAAACCCTGGGTTTAGGGTTTAGAGTTTAGGGTTCAGGGTTTAGGGAACGCTGAACCTTGATATGCAAAAAGATAAAGCCCTAAACTCTTTTGACAAGGTTGCCTTGACGGCAACCAGGCATCCCGGATGATCTTTCAAGGCGATGCCGGGATTGGATTGGAGTTTGCTGGAAGTAGTTTTTCGATTTCAGTGTAGTTGCAGGAACAAAAAACTTACCTTCGAAATCGCCATCTTACATCAGTCAAACCTTGAAGACCAGGTTCGGGATAAGATAACGCTCTCAACCCCAGAATCTCGAAGGTTTGGGACTGGCTGTTCCTGGACAGGCCTTTTCAATCTGTTATATAGGAAGCAGCGCAGCTCTGGGTCATCACTGAATAGCACCAGGCTTTCTATGGCAGTTGCTGGAGCTTGGGCTCAGACAGCCGAAAGAAGCTCAGGGTGTGTACTCTCCACATCCCTACACCTCATGGCCTCGTGCAATAATACTGTTCATCTTCCGGTACAGTTCGCACGCTGTAGCCCGGTTCAACTCAAACACCGGAATCGGAATAGGGCGATGGACGAGATAACCCAACGAACCCCCATGCAACACCCCTGGACACTCAAGCTTAAAGCGTCAGCCCATTTGTCGGAGGGGCATCGAAGTTCGACCTTCAATGCCGCAGGTGGGAACTTTCACTTAATGGAGCACTACGGTTGGCAGGTTCCATCCTGCGGGTGGGGAGGGGGCGAGTTGGGTTTTGATGATCAGTGTAGGCTTTTGGCGTGTATTATACCATAAGTATATTCGGGACGCTGGGGAATACTGTTACTCTGTAGTACCGTTGTGGGCCTTGCCTTTGGGGCTTTCGGCATTCACGGTCTTCTTCGGGATTTACGCTTGGGGAGGGTTTGAGGACCCTAAAACCCTAAACCCTAAACCCTCAAACCCTAAACCCTAGACCCTAAACCCTAAACCCTAAACCTTAAGGTTGGCTTCGGGTAGAGGGCTCGGTACCGGAATCGCATCCTCCGAGACCCTGGGCCTGCCAACCCCTGAACACTTAATGTGGGGGCCTACATATTTTTAATAGGGTTCCCTTGAAGGGGATCCTTAAAGGGTTCTTCTATAAGGGATCTATGATAGGGTTCTTAAATGTAGGGGCCTGAACAATTAGAACAGGGTTTGGAGGTATAGAATACTATACTTATAACAAGGAACTTCTAATCAAGAAGGCCCCGATGTTCGGTCATGGCTCCCTGCCTGATTCTTGTTTTTGTTTGAGGAGCTTTGGTTTCTAGTTTGTCGGTATGTTTGAGCGTATGAAGCTGTGGCTGTGAACTTAACGCAGTTTCTTTTGGGATTTGGGGTTTAGGGTCCTGTCACCTGTAAGCTCGGAACCTAAGACTCGAAATGCCCAAGCAAAGGCGAGACGAAATTCCTTCGACCACGCAGGAACCCAGAGACTCCAATACCACTGAATTGAGTAATAGACCGTAAAGTATAGTAGGATCGCCAATATGATTTCGGGTATATTCCTTAAATAAGGGATATTGGAATCCCCTACACCCTAAACCCTAGAGATCCCTTATAGATCCCTTAAAGGAACCCTAGGTATTCCTTAGCTAAAGAAAGGATTTTGGAGTCTCTGCTTGGCAAGCTCGGGCGAGAAGACTCACGCCTTAAACGCCGACAGGCCCGAAACTTGACAGACCGAGCCTTCTGCACACCTAGAGTCTCCATTGTAGTTCCTTTTTGGGGTTACCTTATAGGATCCTACTTATACAATTGGTTAAACCACAAAAGGAACTACAATGGAGACTATAGGTAGGTAAACTTGAAGACCAATGATAATGGGAATAACGTTTCGTGGTATGTTATCATATAGACACGAGAAGGAGCTCTAAGGGAGAGAATTGGAATAATTCAGGCTCCTATATGATGCAGAAAGCCCGAAATCATCAACTTTAAACCCTTTCACAGATCGAAAAGAGGCCCTATAGAAACAAGCAAAAACTTTAAACGGCCCTTTAAGCCACAAAACGAAAACTTATATAAACCCTCTTGAGCCATGTCCTAAACCCTAAACCTTAAACGATTAAACCAAACCCCCCCCCCCCAAAAAAAAAAAAAAAAAAAACTTATATCAACCCTCTAGAGCCATGTCTTGCTAGGCGGAGCGCTCCTTGCTGGCGCCGCACGCCGAAGCCTCGCCGGCCACCTTCCCAGTTTTAGGGTTCAGGGGGTGTGGGTCGTTGAGCCCTAAACCCTTTTTGAGTGTTTAGGGTTTAAGGTTTAGGGTTTAGGGTTGAGGGCCCTAAGCCCTAAAAACCTTTGAGGGTTTAGGGTTTGAAGTTTAGGGTTTAGGGGTTAGGGCCCCGAGCCCTAAACCCAAAGTCCAAAGCCCTAAGCCCTAAACCTGGGGTGCAGAAGACTGTGCCTACGAGCTCAACTCTTCTGGGAGCCTAATGCACTCAACCCATCGGTTTAGGGTTTAGGGTTTAGGGTAGAAACCCTGATGGGAACTCTTCAAGAAAGCCGAAAACGAACCCATCTGGGTATTTTGATGTCCTGAGCAACCAAGGTGTGGGCTTTGGCGGTTTCCCTAAACCCTAAACCCTAAGCCCTAAACCCTAAACCCTAAGCCCTAAACCCTAAACCCTAATTGGGGTTGGGAGTTGGTGGATGGGGTTCAGATTATGAGTTGAATGTCTCTTTGCTTGGGTCAAAAGGTTTGTTTTGGGGGTTTCCTTTATGATAAATACAAGTGTAATGGGCCTCAAAACCCTATTCTAACTATTAAGGCCCCTATATTACAGGTTCAGTCTTTGGGGGGTTGGGGATCTGGCATCGAAGAATTTTGGTGTAGATGAGGGCGTGGGATCCAGCCTGAGCAGTGGGTTCCAGAAGCTTCACGACGGTCTACGGTTATCCTTAAGCACGAAAGCCTTACGTCCCAAAACCCTGAACTCCAAGACCGTAAATGCCAAGCCCTAGACCCCCCAAACCATACTCCGAGACCCTGAACCCTGAAACCCCAATCCCTAAACCTCTTAGAGGAACCCTTGTAGACCCCCTGAAGGAACCCGCCAACGGGACCCTCAAATTCAATACCCTGAGCCGTTCCCGCGAATGCCACCGCCCTTTTTGGATCCCTTTTCCGACCCCTTTTAGATCCCGATCAGAACCCCTATATAGTGCCCACATAATTACCACTATTATTTCGGGGGTTCCTTATTGTACTTCTAGTATAGGGGGCCCAAAACCCTATTCTAATTCTGAAGGCCCCTATATTATAAATCCGTTTTGTAACCCTGGTACAAACCTCGAGATATTGCTGATGGACAAAATCCTGCATTACTCATTATAAGGAATATACCATAGTTCCCATAGTTTAGAGTCCTTAGGGTCATGCAGGATATTGTCCATCAACAGTAGCAGAAACCCTAAACCCTAAACCCTAAACCCTAAGCCTTCGTCCAGGAGCCACCGCCGCCCGATCCCGCCGAGCTGTCTTTGTCCCCTGGCCAAGGGAGCGGCAACAGACTCGAAGCCTACGAAGACTTAGGGGTACTTAGAAATAAGTCTTAATTTCTGGTTATTAGAATCCCTAAGAAACAGCCAAAATTATAGTTTTTGCTAGGGTTCTAAGTTCAGTATAGAAGAGGTATCTCCTGAGGATGATTGCTCTTTTGGGTTTTTTTGCTAGAACTATGTGGTATAGTATACCACATAAGCCGACTCTACTTATATTGCCATTACCATAATCGTCGTTATCTTTTTCGCTCTTATTATAACTACTTTTTATGTAACTTTCATACCCGAAGGATCATGGTGGTTGTGTTTTTTCTATGCCTGGGTCGACCCCAAACCCTAAACCCTAAGCATAGCCTGGAGGTTTAGGGGCTCGGGTTCATGTGCTGGAAGGTTAGGCTGCTTCGGGGTTTCCGAAATGTAGGGGTAGCTTCTTTTGGGGGAGGATCCTACTATTTAGGGTACTATATTAGGGTCCCCTATCTTCGGCAACTCCCAAATAGAGTTCAGGGTTTATAGGTGTCATTAGGGTTTCGGGGTGTTTGCAGGTTTTTGTGGTCTTTGGGATGAGAACTTTCGGCGAGCAGGGCTTCCTAAACCCTAAACCCTGGCCTCAAGTACGTGCCCTGATCCTAAGTCTTCTGGTTCCAAACCGTTCCCAGACAAACTTCGCTTGCCTTGGACCAGTAAGCACCCGAAGCATCAAGAGTTTCATAGTCACGTCCCTACATCCACCGATTTTTTTTCAAAGTGACCCGCAAAATCAACAAGTGCCCTTGTGTGGCATAGCTTCAGCGACAAGGTTCGAGGGCGCTCTCGAACGATCCTCCCCTGCACTGCTGCGGGTTTGGCGGGTTGAGGATCGGGGGGTGGGGTTGCTTTGTCAAGTTTCGGGGTTTTCTTGGGGTCGAGGGTTTTACGTAGGGTTTTCTAGAAGGTTTAGGCTTGGACAGGGCCTAGACGGTTGAAGATTGAGCCGGAGGTCCGGATTGCAGAAGAGGCCGCAGATTTTGATGGCGGTGACGAGCACTTTTCTGACAGGAAGGTTGGGAGGTTCCCGGGGTGATGGTTGCCCTGAATTCAGGAATATACCTTAATATTGGGGCCTAAATAGTATGCTTTAAAGTATATTCCTTAATCAAGGGGCATGGGGATCTCTGGACAATGGGTCGGGTTGAAAGGTTCAGGAGGTGAAGGTTTCGGGGGGTAAGGTGTGTGGTCCCTTTTTGGGGGTCCTTATAAGAAGGATCCTACTGTTTAGAGTACCATATTAGGGTCCCCCATTTTCGGAAATTCCCATGTAGCTTCAGGGTGAAGGACTAAGGTGGTGTACCGTTACCCTATACTAAGCTTGACAAATTGTTGGAGCTTTAGTCTTGACGGCTCAGGACTTAGAAATGTACATGCTTGATCCCATCCCAACCACGAACTCGTAAAAATAGTAAACCATCCCAAACCCGCCTTGAGCTCTGAAGCTTGCATCCAAAGCCATATTCCCCAGGAAGCTTCAGATCTGGGAGTTTCCGAACATTAGGGGTACGTTTCGAGGGATCCTTTAAGGGTTCCTTGAAGGGGTCTATAAGGGTGCTACAGAGGGTTTAGGGTTTGGGAGTTTCCGAAAATTAGGGTGCCTTATTTTAGGGTCCTTATAATAAGGATCCTACTATTTAGGGGGGACGATATTAGGATCCCCTATGTTCGGAAACCCTCATTTGAGAACTCTCTGCCCTGAGCCAAAGACCTGAAACCTGAACCTCACCATCCCAGATCCCTCGAGCCTTAAACCTTATTTGGCGGATCATGGGACTTAGTAGTTATAAGTCTAGTTACCCTAATAATAGCCTTAGTTACTAAGTCCCATGATCCTTTAAGTATAGCTTAGAAGGGGCCCCCACCGTGCAATAGTGGATTAGTAGGAATATAATAGGACCCTAATATGATCCTTATAGTGACTATTACAGGGTGGGGACAGCTTCTAACTTATAGCCTCCAAGCCCTGAACCTTAAACCTGAATCCCTTACACCCTTTGTAGATCCCTGTCGCATTCTTGTAAAACCCTTACGAAACCCCCTAAACCCTAAACTCGAAAGCTGAAACCCTAAACCCTCAGCCCATGCCCAACAGCCAAAAGCCGTTTTGGGTCGAAGATCTGAGGCAGCCTAATGGAGGCCATCGTCGAGCACAAGCACGACCTTCTGGCGGAGTTTGTTGCCATGGACAAGCAGAAGGCCGGGACCTTGCCTTCGGTTGGTTTAAGGGTCCAGGGGGCGAGGGTTTTAGGGTTTCAGGGTTTAGGGGTTTAGGGTTTGAGGTTTAGAGTGGGGTTGAAGTTTTGGTGCTGGGGGATTCAGCGTGCAGGGTGGGTTGAGGGTTTAGTGATTTGGGCTCAGATACACCCTCTTCGTCTACAGGGCCTGCGTACTTAGTCGTATCCCGTTTCGGGCCCTATGCTCGAATTTACACAAATGGGAGTTTTCGAAAATAGGGGACCCTAATATAGTACCCTAAACAGTAGGATCCACATTATAAGGACCCCCACAATAAGGTGCCCCTATTTTCGGAAACTCCCAAATCGTGATTCTTATGATTCTGGACTGCTGTAGTGTCCTCTGTCTGTGTCCCAGCCTGCTATCAGCATGCCTGACCCGTAGTGCGTGACGGCTTGCAACAATACTGATGGTAAGCAGAGTTGTTGTAGTTGTCAGATATCATAGTCTTCCTCTTCTTACATAGACTGACAGAGAACATTTATGCGCAGTATAGGACTGGTTCCTGCTGGTGGATGTCTGGCTGAACTGCTGCCGGCGAGTGCTGCCACAGATTCCCTGGGAGGACTCGATATCTTAGTTATCTCCAATGCTGCACGCCGGTTTTACTCCCGCACACGTTTGCCTATAACAAGACAACTGACGCAGGCAACACAGAAACTTTAAGAAGAACCAATACTATTCCTTAGGGTTCCTGAATATGCTATGTATATATATATATATATAGCTAGATCGATAGATATTTGTAGTATGTACTATATCACCAAACCCCATTGGAGCTATTTCCCAACATTGTTACGTTTGCAGCTTCCATAGGTTTGTATTTGTCAGGTGCCCTCGGTCGTAGAAGTCGCTTATCTCCTGGCGAAGGTGTGCGGCATTCTGAATATTTGCAAAAGCCATCGAAAGTCTTTGGCTTCGTCTTGAAGTAAAGTAAGGTACCTATACCTGACTGACCCTAGATTCGGCACCGTGCAGGATCTGCTGGACGAGCCTCGCTTCGTGCCCATAAACAGCGGCCATGTGAATTACATGCTCTTCCTGACGAGATACCAGGTGCGCTCTTCCATTTTGTTCAATGAAGGAAGCGGTTGTCGATGGGTTGAACAGCCCTAAACCCTAAACCATGAATGTGTAAGACTTTCTCACAAGGACCGCCACGGTGAAGTCTCCAACTTCAAAGCTTGTTTTCTCATTTAGGGCTTCTGGGGCTGCGGAACGCCCGGAAGCTCACAACACTTTAGCCTCCCAATGTCGAAACTTCCCAAAGCTATGACAATGACCAGCAGGTCGGGTGGAATCACGCCCTTGAACCCTAACCCTATGTAAGGTTAACAAATTTCACTTTTTGACAGTTTTGGCCGCACAGTAATTTTGTCTGCGTTCAATCCTAAACACATTGCTCAAAGCCACTTCCGTTCAGGTGCGCTTCAGGCACAAGCAAGGCTGGACAGCAGCGGGGCGTTTGGCACAAAGCCCCAAACAGTTCCTGCCCTAAACCCTAAACCCTAAACCCTAAACCCTAGACCCTAAACCCTAAACCCTAAACCCTAAACCCTAAAGCCTAAACCCTAAAGCCTAAACCCTAAACCGTGACCCTGAAGCCGCAGCCCTCAACCCAAAACCCTCAAAGCCTACGCGTAGCGCCCTAAAGCCGGATTCGTTAAGTTAAAAACCCTACAGCTCAAGAGCAGAACCTGAGATGTAAGCCTGATTCCTGACCTACACATCGGCCGTAGAACCTGGTACTTAAAGGATCATGGGACTTAGTAACTACGGTTAATATTAGGGTAACTACACTTATATCTACTTATAACACGAAGTAAGGTACTTGTAACCTTACTTACTAAGTCCCATGATCCTCCAAGTGGATTCCGGGTTTAGGGTTCACTAGAGAAGAGATCGGGTGGTTGGGGCTTGACTGCATGTAAACACGCGATAGGTTTGGGGTTTGAGGGTTTAGGGTTGTCTTGCGGTTTAGGGTTTAGAGTAAACCCTGAGCCTGAACAGCAATCACACTGCCAAAAACGGTTTATATAGGGTTTAGGGGTATAGGTCCAGCTTCCAGCTGATTAGGAATACCTGAGCTCTAAGCACGAAGTTTTCTGAAAGCAGAACAAGTAGCTGCGATCAATGAGCACGACCACGATAATCAACACGGTAATCGTCCCAGACACCGAAAAGACCAAGCATGATGTACGGATTTTCAAGCTGCAGCCCTCAAAATGCCCTAACTCCTCAGGCCACTAATTCTTTAAAACCTTAAGCTTTACCCCCCCAAGCGCCGAGCTCTAAACTCCAAGTCTTGAGCTTAACCTCTAGACCTTGTGCGACGGTTGATGATATAAATCCTGCATTACCAATTATAAGGAATATACACCGGATCTCCTGAGAGGCCTACACGCTTCCTTCCACCGGCGCTTAGCCTCCCAACTCTTCGAAGGCTGTCCTTTCCTGTGGTTGGGGTGTGGAGTTTGGGGTTTCGGGTTTAGGGTTGAAGGTGTACGGTGCACGGTTTGGGTTGTGGGGTTTTGTAGGATTTGGGTTGTTGGGATTCGGTTTCAGGGTTTGGGGTGCAGGGTTTCGGGTTAGGGTTAGGGGGCAGGCTTTTGCGAGGGCTGGTTTCTTGTCATCTTGAGGGCACTTAGATGTTTGGGGCGGCATGTGGAGGATCACACTAAGCCCTAAACCCTGAATCCTAAAACCCTAAACCCCAAACCCTAAACAGGCAGCCCCAAACCCCAAACCCTGAACCCCCAGCCCCAAACCTCAAACCTTAAACCCTAAACCATAAAACCCCAAACCCCAAAACCCCAAACCCTAAACCCCAAACCCTAAAACTCAACTCTAAACCCCAAACCCTAAACCCAAACCCTCAACCCCAAACCCTAATCCTCAAACCCTAAACCCTAAAACCCAAAGCCCTGCAGAGGTTTGCTCCTCGCCGACCGCCCTCTGCGAGAGACCTTGGCTCTGCTAGACCTGCAGCTCGACAACCATAGGAGGCCAAAAGGGTATTAGCCTATGGGGGTTTAGTCGGGCTTAGGGTTCCCCAATAGGGTTCATATTAAGGAATCCCTACCCCAAGCATCTTAAACCCCTGTTTTGGCCTCCCATCAGACAAGAGCCGGGAGTTGAGGATTTTCGGGTTCTTTGGGGTTTGGGATTTCAGCATTTTGGGGATCTGTGAGGACGTTGCGGGTTTTGGAGTTGAGGATTTTTTTGGGAGGGGCTTGGGATTTCGGGTTAGGGTTCAGCATTTTGCGATTTTTCGGGGGGCTTAGGGTTCTCATAAGGGTTCCATCAAAAGTTCTACAAGGTTTCCATGCCTGTACTCCTGGAAGCCAAATCCCCAAGCCGCAAAAGCTGGGTTTCGGTTCCCTGCGCCCGAATAGAGCTGCAGTACTGAGGAAACTGCGTTGGCATGACATAGTTTCCAGTTTGGTTGGTGCAAGGTTGTTTGGGTAACGCAAATCAAGTTCCTTCGTACTTACCCAGAGAAGGAACGGAGACGGCGTTGTCTCCGTGGACGAGTTTGCCGGTGCGCTAGCGCGCTTCGGGAAGGTGCAGCAGACCCGACGTGTAGGTTCAAGCGTCTGCAAGGTGTTAAGAAGGGCTATTCTTCAAAGGATTCTTTTGCAGGTTCCGGTAGGATTTCGGGTTTGGGTTTTTGTGGGGTCCTAGGATTAGGGTTCGAGCTCTAAGGTCTCGTGTAGGATTTCTGCACCTTCAGGGCTTTGTCCGGCTTCGTTTCTTGTCGGGTGCTCTCATGGGTTGGTGTTTATGGAGATGGAATCTTTAAGGGCTCCTTTTAAGGGTTCCTTTAAGGTTTCCTCTAGCGGTTCCTTCAAGGGTTCCTTTAAGGTCTCGTTTAAGGCCTCTTTTAAGGGAAGGGCTCCTTTAAGGGCACCTTTAAAGCCTCAACCGGCGGAAGCCAGACGCCTGTGACTCTAAACCCTAAGCTTTCACCCCTTAAAAGGAAGGACAGATGCTATACCTCCCAACGCCTCTGTCGTAGAACCCTTACAGAACCCTTGTAAAGAACACTTATAGAACGCCGGGCCCTCAAAACCTAAAGCCCTAAACTCCAAACCCAATACCTGCCACCCTAGACGACCCTAGACGATAAACTCAGTATAGACCACTCCTAGAATCATGAACCCTGGGCCCTAAACTCCCTGAGTGACCGAAACCCGGAAGCCCTAAACCCTAAACCTACCAAAACTTGCTTAAACCTGGCCCTAGACCCCCCCCAAAACCCCCTTTCTTCAGGTGCGTCTTCCCTGACACCCCAAACCCTCAAATAGACCCTACATCCCTAAACCCTCAACCGGAGGCACCCTCCCCACATGCACCCGAACCCTAAACCTCAAACCCTAAACCACCACCCAAAACACAACAGAAACATTCTTCCAGGTGCTTCTTAACCCTACTTCTGGCCCTCTTCAAAGGGACCTTTTTTAGAGGGTCTATATTTCCACCGCTAAACCCTAAACTCTAATCCTAACTCCTAACTCCTGCAGGTGCTTCTTCCCTCTCAAGCCAAAGCTCTCTACCGGACGACCGCAGACCAAGGCTTGATCTAGAGGGGCCCACAGAGGTTTAGGGGGTTTTAGGGTTTCGGGCTTAGGGTTTAGGGCTCAGGGTTTAGGGCTTAGCGGGTTTGGGGGTTTGGGTTTAGGGTTGTTCGGGGTGTTGTAGTCATTTTGTTGCTTTTTGTGGTTTCTTTCAAGGATATTTCAAAGTGCGGCCGCATAAGGGTTCAGGGCCTTGGGTTTCTGGGTTTCGGGGTTTGGAGTTGAGGCTCCGCAGTATTGCCGGGGCGTACAAGTTACCTCAAGGATGCTTTGGATATGCACGTTGGTGTTTGGGAGAACTCTATTTCAAAACTGCCTTTGCCCAAGGGCCTCGGCATGTAGAGTCCGTGTGTTTGGACTAGCCGTTTGGAAATGATTCTTTGAGTGGAGTCTCTTGACGTTGGTTTCCCATGCAAGTTTCCAGCTTCGCAGAGACCCCCGAAAGAGCTGCGTCGAGACCTTTGCAGTCCCCTCCTCGAATATTCAGCCCTTGTTACGGTCTAGACCTCGGACTTTTGGGCATCTGCCCGTGGTGTCCCTTCAACAGGTATGTTTTGTGTCCCAAGTAGCTTTGTTTTGCTGCGAGCTAGCGCTGGCTTTGTTGCTGTTCTTGCTAGCAGAGTTATTGCTGTTTCTATTTCAGAATTGCGGCTGGGAGCTGCTTCAGGCGGTACTGTCCGGGTGGAGACCTTCTTGGCAACCTTGTCACTGCACTTCGCGCTCACGCACCCAACGCCCACCACCCCAGAGACGGCGTTTCTTGGAGCCGTTAGAGGATCGGAAGTTGCAGTCATAAGGAATCGACATGTCTTCAATCCAACACAATACATCGAACACAGTACATCGATGTATATAGGAGGTTCCTGGGAGCTAGGAAACATCTGGCGTGATTGGTTCTGAGTTGGTCGAACCCAAATTTCAGGTTTCAGGGGGTAGATTGCTCACATGGGTGGTTGTCAAAATTATGGTCCCTTGTTGGGTACCCTAAATATTAGGTGCCGTACTATATTAGGGACCCAGAAAGGGGCCCTAAGTTTGACAACCACACATATCAATGTCTTGAGTTGGTAGCGGCACGGCGACGGCGATCGATATCAACACAAACGAAAGTGCTGTGAGCATTGCCAGTGCAACCTGGATGCGGAGTTGCTGACATTTGCGTCTGTATGATGCGTACAGCACAGTGAATGATCTTGCCGCAGGTTCTGACCGAGAAAAGTTGACATCCAATACTACAGAGTGCATTAAGAGACAGCATATTATGTCTCAGCAGAGCCTTGTTCTAACTGTGAAGGCACCTGTCTTGTATAAACCTCATAGCTCCCATATAGAACCCAAAGGTACTCTGTTTTGTTCAGAAGACAAGGTTCGTTCCGAAGCTCTTGGATGTGTCTGGACAGCATCGGACTTGGGAGTCTTCGTTATTTTTGGAGGAGGGGGGCAGACAAAGTAAGGTCACTTGTAGGCCTTCTATACCGTGCCTATACTGACTATATTGAAAGATTCAGGACAGACATAGTGCCTTGTAGAATCTGAACTACCTTTTCGTCGTGCTTCGAAGCATCCTATCTGAGCAAAATCCAGTGGTTAACCCTCCCCTGCAGATACTCGCCTCTGCAGAGACTCGCGATAGTACGGATCCCATCATCCGAATGTCGGCTGTAGTAGAACTTGCATAGGATCCATGCGGCTTTGCTGTAGGGTTCGCGGTGTGGACCTGAGATTTACTTTATGGTTTGAGTGCGGTTGACTGTGGAAACCCTGAACGAAAAACCCTAAACCCAGAAGTTTACTAAACCTTGATCCCCAAACTGCCAACCCTAAACCCGAACCCTAAACCCTACATCCTGAACCGTAAGAAACGAACCCGGTTGGCCGCCTGAGCCAAGGCGATCTGCCGCGACATCCTCCGCCTGGGCCGGGAGGAAGAGGGTACAGGTGTGGCGGTTTTGCCGGGCTCTTAGCCGATCCCTCAACTTAAACTACCCTAAACTCTGAACCATACACCCTGAACCCTGCAGCCCTAAACCCTGAACCATATACCCTGAACCCTAAACCCTGAAACCCTGAAACCCTAAACCTTGAAACCCTGAAACCCTAAACCCTGAAACCCTAAACCATACACCCTGAACCCTGAAGCCCGAAACCTTAAAGCGTTGAACCGCTGAGAGGAGGTCGGCTTGGGCTTCAGGGTTTTATGGGTTTAGTGGTTTGGGGTTTAGGGTTTAGGTGTTTGGGGTTTAGGGTTAGGGGTTTAGGGGTTTAGGGTTTAGGGGTTTAGGGTTTAGGGGTTTAGGGTTTAGGGGTTTAGGGTTTAGGGTTTAGGGTTCGGGACCAGAAAGTGGAACTGGGGATGTGTCATTGGGTGGGGCAATACAACAATACTGCTCGCGTGATGCGAATTTTTGCCGGCCTAACGACACTCGTAATTGCTGTGGCTGTGATTACTTCACTCTTCCTGTTCTTAATTGCATCCTTGTTGGTCTTTTTCTCTTGATCGTGATTGAAGGTTCAATTTCTTATAAGAAGCCTGCATAAGAAGCCTGCGTGGTGAGGTTTTACTAACTGTGAGTGCAGGCGCTCATGCCTTAGAGCTTCATGCGACGTGTTCCCACGGATTTTTTGGGGTCCAGGGTTTGAGCTAGGCCGAAGCTACGAGTTCCACCAGCAGGTTTGTAACAGAAGGTCTGAGGGTTTAGGCCTGAAGGTTGAAGATTTAGGGCGTAGACTTCGGACTTTAGGGTTTAGGGTTTCTTTCGAGCCTGAAGAGCCTAGGCTGCGGCGCTTTTTCGAGCATGCCGACCGAAGTGGCAACAACAACGGCCGCTTGGCAGTCTTGTCGAAAAGCTAAATATGGAGGTCGGCCTGAGTCCTCAGTAGCAGCAAGCCCTAATGACTCTCTGCATATTCAGAGTATATCCCACCCCAAAACCCATCCGAAGGGCCCTCAAATTATACACCCCAGAGGCCTTGAAACTCGAAGTCGGCAACCACCTGCAGTAAAGCTTCATGTCCTAGACCCGAAACCCTACATCCCTAAGCCCTAACAATCCTGAACACGTGTACCTAAGTCCTGAAAGACTGCACCGCTTCAAAGAACCGCTGTAGGTCCTAAACCCTAGACCCTAAAAAACAAACAGAATACCTGATAAGTTATAATCTTATAAGATCTTCTAGAACCCGACAGAACCCTGCAAAGCCCAGGAACACAATCTAGACCACATGCAACTCACAAACCCCTTCCCAAATCCCTGGGCCCCTTCTGTTACCCTAGCAACCCTTACCCCCAAGCCGAAGGCGTCAACACCCAACGCCACCCAATCCTCCGACTCCATCGAACCCTATCAACAGCTCTGCCACCCGACTCGCACATTTTCGAACGCTACACTACCTCTATAAAAGGCCTGTTGAGCTCTAAGCTCTCAACCCTAAGCCCTAAACCCTAAAACTGGAGCAGAGACTACCCCCTATAAAAGGCGTTAAACACAACTCTGAGCCCTTAACCACGAAACCTTAAAACAAGGCACAAAGCCATAAAGCCCTAAAGCCCCAAACCCTAAACACCTAAGCTTAAAGCACGCACGTCCGGAAAAGAAAAGCTCAGCCTAAAACCCTACAGATCCCTTAAAGGAACCCGAAGAGGAAACCCTTACAGGAACCCTAGAGGAACCCCTTTAAGGGAACCCTTAAAGGAACCCTTACAGGAACCCTAGAAGGAACACCTTAAAGGAACCCTTTAAGGGATCCCTTGGACGGAATCCTCTTTTAAGGATCCCTTTAAGGGATCCCTTTAAGGGATTCCTCTAAAGGAGCCCTTTAAGGGAGTCCTTTAAAGGAGCCCCTTAAAGGATCCTCAAAGCGAGGCTACTTGGAGCTCCACGAGCTCCTCCTGGCCCTGCGGACGCTTCCGAGCTGCCAGGGCTTGGGAGAGGCGGAGTTGGAGGCGTCGAAGCAGCTTGGGGCGTAGGGTTTAGGGTTTAGGGTTTAGGGTTTGGGGTTTGGGGTTCGGGGCTTAGGGCTTAGGGTTTAGGGTTTGGGGCGTAGGGTTTAGGGTTTAGGGTTTGGGGTTTTAGGGTTTAGGGTTTGGGGCTTACGGTTTAGAGTTTGGGGTTTAAGGTTTCGTCTTCGTCTTGTTATTCTTATTCTTGTCCTATTGTCATAATGATGATGATTATTATGATGTTTTATGATTATTAGTATCACTATTATTATTGTTTTGTTATCACTTTTATTTTCATTGTCATTATTCTTTTTACGACTAGTATGATTAATATCATTGTTTTTTACTATTGACATGTTGTTTGCGTGGTTTGTGTGTTGTAGGGGCTTAATTAGGGTTTCGGGTTTATGAGTTCTTTATTCAGGGGTGTATTTGTAGCGGTGTGGTGTTTACAGGGTTTTGTAAGTGTTAAGAAATTTTTCTGGGTTTGGCTGGGTTTCACAGGCTCTATAGGATTCTACGTTTGTTGTTTTGAGGAAAATTGGGTTCCGCAGAATTTTTACAAGATGTTCTGTCATGGGTTTAGGTTTTTGGGGCTTAGTGCGGTTTCGTGTGCAGGACTGTTTGGCTTGTGGGGATAGTTTGGGTCCTGTGGAGTCCTGAATGTTTCCAAAGAGCCACAAGTGGCATCGGGGTTCTAGGCTCTACAATGGTTTAGGGTTTGGGATTTAAGATTTAGGGGTGTGTGTTGTTTGAATTCGATTTGCGGCTTTATGACTTCATAGCTTTGTGAGAAGTTTGCTTTGAGGGCATCCATGCTTGACCACAGCTTTGACAATCTACTTGTCGCTTTGTTCAGGGATTTAAATTAACCATGTTTCAGGAGGCTTCCAGAAGAATCCGACCTTCTGTGCAGGGTTTGTCGGCTGTTGAGCTGTGAGGGTGTAGGAATGGCAAAGGGTCTAGAGTTTGGGGCATAGGGTCGAGAGTTTTGGGAACAGGTTTTAGCCTTTAGCCTTCAGACGCAGCGTCCTGCCACACTCCAGAAAGTTCGGCATGCCTTGGGTACGGCCCCCACTCAGTAATAGTTGAATAATATTCACAATATAGTTATATTAGGACCTGAATAGTAGCCCTATTATAGACTCTTACTGTATGGGGGCAGTACCTAACTAGGATGCCCAGCAGTACCCTTATTCCCTTTTTGTAGTCCTAGGTTCCGTATAAAGTTACCCAACACCTAAAAGAGAGGCCTTTTTATTCTTAGGTTACTGGGTATCCTAGATTCGTATCAGCCCATTCTTCAAGATGTCTTGGAAAGCTCTACCCTTGTAAACCCTAAGACGATACAGGGTATCCTAGCTAAGGCATGCCTCCTGTGGTTCGAGGTTTTCTGATTGCAGAGGTACGAAATCGAGGGTTTTTTCGGCATTCTCGGCTCCAGGCCTTCGGCCCTTCCGTACCCAGAGCCTCCAAAACCCCTTAATTAGGGAATATACCTTAAATTATAGTAGGATCCTTAATATGATTTAAGGTATATTCCTTAATTAAGGAATATACCTTAAATGATAATAGGATCCCTTATATGATTTAAGGTATATTCCTTCATTAAGGGGTTTTGGAGTCTCTGGGTAGGGTAGGGTCTGCAGCCGCACCTCGCTTCGGCGTACACCAGCCGGCTGGCATCTCGGATCTCTGGAGACGACCCAGAGAGCCCAGTGCCCCTTAATTAAGGAATATGGCTTGAAATATATAGGGCTTCATGTGTTTAGGGTTTAGGGTTTAGGGTTTAGGGTTTAGGGCTTCATGTCAAGATTTAAGCTACATTCTTATTAAGGGGTATTGGGCTCTCTGGGGAAGAGACAGCACGTTCGGCGAGGGCTTCCCTTGCAGTTGCGGCCGACACGTGCCGGCAGCACCCCAGGTCTTCAACATGTCGAACGACGGTGGATGCTATGAATCCTGCATGACCTTAAGGACCCTAAACTATGGGATTTATCGTATACTCCTTATTATGGGTAATGCAGGGTTTATATCATCCACCGTAGTTCTCCGCTGCGAAGCTTCAGATGGAGGTGTCTTCTAGAAGGCAACCTGACGATGCTGCTGTTCTCGCTCATGTTGCCGCACGTCCCAGTAAACCCTCCACCCTCGACCCTTGACCTGTTCCTCCAATCTCTGAAGAAGCTGAATCTTGAAACATAGTTCTTACTGCGGCAGAACTACTAAAAAACGCGTTCCTGCGAGAGGGTTGCAACTTGGTCCGGATATTACTAAAACTCAGAACCTGGGAGATGACTTCTTTCCATACTTCCTCAACAACGAAGCCACTGAAAATGCCGATATACACCTTGCTTCCAACATCTTCCACGACCGGGGTTTACGACCAAAGGGTCTGGAGTTTGGGGGACAGGGCGCAGGGTTTGGGGTTCGCGATCAGCGGGTCTAGAGGTTTGGGGGGTTTGGGGAATAGGGCTTAGGGCTTAGGGTTTGTGGTTTGCGACGCCAAAGCTCGACCCGACCCGACAGTGCTCAGAAGGGTGCTATGAAGGGTCGCTTAAATGTTGCACGTGCTTCAGGCTCCGCACCCAAGCCCTTAGGGCCTAACCCCGAAATAGATGTTTAGGGTTTAACCCTCAACCCTAAACCCCAAACCAAAAAAACTCAAACCCTCAACCTTATCTAAACTGTAGGCCAGGCCCATCGCCCTCACAGAAGATATGAAGTCTTGAACCATCGACACATGGGAATTTCCGAAATTTGGGGCTACCTTATTTTGGGGTCCTTATAATAAGGATCCTACTATTTAGGTTACTATATTAGGGTCCCCTATTTTCGGAAACTCCCACATCAGCCCTATGCTTTGCGGGGCTGTGGCAGGCCGTGGGCAAGTTTGTGGACCTCAACGGCGACTTGCTGATAGCCGTTATGCCGTGAACTCCCCAAGCGACATTCGGAATGGCAGGTAGTCCTCAACAGGGTTTACGGGGTGTAGGGTTCAGGGGTAACTT